ACTGAGATGTCGAGATTTGTCTAGTCGTCCATTTAGTTTAATAAGTCCCTTGTCGTAGCAACAATTAAATGTATACAGTTTACTAGTTGAGGGTATTGACTTACTGTTTTCCAAAAGATTAATCTCGTTTTGGAAGGAATCTATTTGAATTCGTTTAAAAAGCAAGTTTTCAGCTGATTGAATTTCATCTACAGTTAATTCTCCCTTAGTTAAAGACCTGAATTTTATAAAAGAGACAAAGCGCAAAAGATATGCTGTAGAACGTATTAACTTTGTCCACTTTGAAAAATAATTTGGATTGGGTACGGCAATATATCTTTTATCTGTGTTCACACATACAAATTCTGTTTGTTTTATTTCTAATAAATTAGGATCAAAATTAACTGACTGTACTGTCTCTTGTGGCCAATTATCCGGGCTAGACAACAAAAATTCTGGACCTGTGATCCATCTACTCTTACTACTAAAATAGGAGTCACAAAGTCTTTTAGTAGCTTCATCTGCTACATTGTTTTTTGAATTGACATATCTCCAGTCTCTTACATTTGATAGTTCTTGGATCTCCCCTACACGGTGAGCAATAAAGATCTTAAATCTTTTTGCTTCAGAACGTATCCAATGTAAAACACACTTTGAGTCACACCAATAAAAAACTTTTGAAATTTTTAAATTTAAATTTTCCTTTAAATAACTACCTAATTTCACTCCCATTGTAGATGTCATCAATTCTAGTCTCGGAATCGATAATACTGGGCTTAATGGGGCTATTTTTGTTTTAGCAGTTAAAAAGGAACACTGAACTAAATTTTTGTAAGAAATTCTTAAATATGCTACTGAAGTGTAACATTTCTCTGAGGCATCAGAGAACACATGTAACTGAATATCGCTTAATTGTCGATCTAAAGTAAAATATTGTCTGGGAATTTCGACTTTATAAATGTCTTTTAAATCTTTAAGCCAAATCTGCCATTTTTCGTTTATGAAATCTGGAATTTGGTCATCCCATCCAATTTGACTCCTCCAGAGGTCTTGTAAAAGTACTTTACCTTGAATCAGAAAATTCGCTATGAGTCCCAGAGGATCAAATATGGACATAACGACCTTTAAGATCTCCCTTTTTGTCGGTCTTCTTTTGTTTTTTAAAATATCGGAGCTAATTTTATGAAATTTAGTTTTAAAGCTAAATACATCTCTTTGTGGATCCCAAAACACTCCTAAAACTCTCTCTACATAAGATGTTTCTAAAGAAAATTTGAAATTTTTTATACCTTCTGCAATTAAAGCCATGTCAATGTCTTGGAGAACTTCTTGGTGGTTTGTAATCCAGTTACAAATAACAAATCCACCTTGATTGTGTACATAGATCACATCTCGGACGAGCTTTTGAGCTTCTTCAAGAGTGTCTGCTCCCCCCAAGTAGTCATCCATGTAATGTTGCTCCACAATGGCTTTAGTTGCTTCGGGATATGTCATATTGAATTCAAGAGCATTTATATTTTTTGCACTTTGAGCTAAACAAGGTCCACTTGTCGAGCCAAAGAAAACTACTCCAATTTCGTACACGTCAGGCTCAACGTCTCGATTCATTCCCCTCCACAAAATACGCTGAACGTAACAGTCTTGTGGCCTTACCCTGACTTGTAAAAACATTTCTTTAATATCTGCTGTGAAAGCGTATTTTGTAATCCTAAAATTCATCAAAATTTTATATAGAGAGTTATAAAGATCTGGGCCAGTTAATAGGCAGTCATTTAAAGAAATTCCGTTACTTTTTGCGGATGCATCAAAAACAATACGTAATTTATTTGGTTTATTTGGATTTGTCATTCCAAAATGTGGCAAATACCAAATTTTATCAGATACAATATTAATTTCGCTTTCCGAAAGTTTTCTAATGTAACCTTTAGTCTCTAAATCTAAAAATTTTTCACAATATGTCTTACCAAATGAAGGAATTTTATCCATTTTTTTCTCTGTACATTTTAGCCTCCTTAAGGCATTTGTTCTACTTTCAGGAAGGACTAAATTATCATATTTCCACAGGAGACCTGTTTCAATTTTTTTACCTACTCTTTTCATAGTTTGGTCTAAAATATGTTGCGCCCTCTTATCCTCCACAGACAAAACCTTTTGATTTTGCGGAATTGAATCAATTTTCCAAAATTCCTTTACCATGTCGTGAAGAATGTCTAAATCATCCTTTTCTTTACTAACCTCATGACTATTGATGTGAAAAACAAAATTATGGTTTAAATTATTATCAATATTACCATGCAGAACCCAACCCAAAAGAGTCTTACTTAATGCTGGTCCTCTCCATGGTCCACTTATACATTTTCTATTGACTAGAAGAGGCCAGTTGTCTTGTCCAATGATAATTTTAGGTTGAGCATTTGTCATTGAAGCAATTTGATTGCCAATAAAGGGATATTTATTTCTTAGTTCTTCCACATCAATAGTTTGAGTCGGAAGAGATAACTTAGTAGTTCGAACATGACGTAATTGAAAACTACGAGTCTTTGCCAGATTATATATTGTAAAACTAACTACAAGTGAATCGTTTTGTCTGTGGATGACGTCGTCATTTGTCCATTGAAGACAAAGGGGTTTAACAGGTCCTGAGAGGCCTATAGAGTCAGCAAGATCCTGATCAATTAAAGAAATTGTTGATGCATCGTCTAAAAGTGCGTACGATTTTACACTTTGAGTACCACAAGAGATCATTACTGGTAAAATTTTTAAAAACACGCTTTTGTCAGTTGAAACGTGACAATTGGTTTCTGACTGATTATTTTCCGTGGAATCGTTTAGATTTGTGCTTTGGGCTGAACTTTCAATTTGGTTGTGTAGCAGCTCATGATGAGCTCGCTTGCATCCCTTGATATTACAAGTTTTCTTTTTTCTACAAGATTTTAAATTATGAAATGGCGTAAGACATGAGAAGCATATCTTATTGGAGGTAATGAACTTCCAACGTTCTTCAACTGAAAAGGCCTTAAATTTTAAGCACAAATCTAAATGATGTCTTTCACCGTTACAACAAATGCAGTTTTTGGTACCTGCTTTTGTAGTCAAGGTAGTGTCTTTTTTGAAACTTCTAGTTTTTTTGTCATTGTCAAAATTATGAAATTCTAATTTTGGTGTCTGAATTAAAGAAATTATATTTGCTTTTTTATTTAGCCAATTTGAGAACTCTACTAATTTAAATTTAGGTTTGTCTATGGTCGAAAGGTGTTCGGTCCAAGACATTTTGTGAGATGTAGGTAATTTAGATAAAATATCATTTAAAAGGAGAGAATTTTGTAAATGTTCATCTTCATTTAATGATTGAATTGTTGCGACAAAATTACTTACCTCATCACAAAACTCTATAAAGAGGTCTAGTTTCTCTTCTTTTATTACAGGAAATCGTTTCAAATTACTTAGTAACGTATAAATGATATGTTCTGAACGCCCAAAACGAAACTCAAGTAAGTCAATAACCTTTTGTACATTTGTCGGCATAATCAAAAGAGATTGAGTAATTTTTTTTGCATTCCCTTTGAGACATTTTTGAAGTCGACATTGATTTTCCTCATTAGAGAAGCCACAAATAGCATTTGAATTATGAAATTGATAGATAAAGTTAGGCCAGTCTAACGGGTTTCCATCAAAATATGGAAGATCCTTCGGAAATGACTGTCTGGACAAAAGTTTTGTTATTTGAGGAATTGTCACCTGATCATGATTGCTTTGAGTAATGTCGGGGTAGAGATTTATCTTGCTTGTACATGCAACCTCATTGTCTGACCTGTCCCATGGAGTTTTACCATTGATCCATTCTTCCACGTTAGGTCTTGTTTCATGTACCGCCTCCAGTGCCTCATCACTTTCGCTGTTCTCCTCGTCTATCTTTGCCAGATTTAGTGCCAGCTCCAAGATCATAAGTTCTTGCTCTAGCTTCTTCTTCCTTATCTGACATTCAATTTCTGCAACCCTTCTTCTTGACGTCTTGCTATTTTTAGTATGTGTCGAATCACTTTTTCTATCTCCCATATGGCTTGTTTCCTGCGGTGCCACTACAACTGATGGAACTAAACCTTCTGAGCGGACGTCTAATGCAGCCCTTTTTTTCTCAAGGAGTCTGTTACTGCATCTAATTGGCTCTGTCCTTGGTTTCACCATATTGTGTATTCTATTTCGGCTCGAGGACCAACTATTATTTCTTTATTTTAATGGTAATAGTAATTGTAATTGAAAATGATACACAGATTGTCTGTCTGAAAAACGTCTATTTCTTTTTTTTTTTAATAGTTACATAAATCATAATTAAAACCATAGTAACATACATTAATGAACTTAATCTTAATCTTTAACATTTGAGATACCAAAAACCTGCGTAACAATATGTATAATTTTTCTGGAGAACTCTGTATAATTAAAATTATTTTTAAATTATTACCTTTTCTGACATAGGTACATCTTGCTGTGAAACAGATTTAAAATAAATGTATATGAGAGAAAACCATCATATATTATTATGTAGGTCCTGTGATAATTCATCTTTCCTAAGTTACAGGATATTTTGCTCAAAAATGTAAATCGTAATGTCTCACAAATGATGTTACGATGAAATTTTATAAACTTTGTATTTTAGCCAACATTTGAATATTTTATGGCTGGAGGCTACTTTTCAATCTCAAAAGGGAACCCCTATGTTTTTATAGCAAATTCGGTTTCTACCTCACAAAATAATAAACCAACAGCATTTCTCCATTCGTATATTTTATTTTGATTGATTGATGCTCTGTGATTGTACTTACATATATTATATACAATGCAAATAAATATTATTCAAATTTAATAATTATAACTCCTCCAATGTAAATTAAATAATTATAATTACATTTTATTTATCAAATATCGTCTACAACTGTAAAAAAATATTGCAAATCGATTGATACATTTTTGAAAATGTTAAATTTTAACTAAAAAATCAAGAACTACTTTGTGACACTTACCCGTTTCTTTCTGATCGTCTTCTAATTCCTTAACCTTTTGTTGATAATATTCCGAAGATTCGCAGTTACAATAAGTGTTTTCTTTAAAATGTACCATTTCCTTTTTCATAATATTAACTTCCAAAACTTTAGTTTCTAATAAGTCTTCTAATTCTTTAATTGTGTATTCCAACTTATCTTTGATAATATTCCAGTCCATTTCTCTCATGTGATAATCTTCTAACTCGTTTTGAGATTGCTCCACCTATAATAAAGGCACAAGACGAAAATGTCATAAGTAAATTAGTAACGTGTTAATTTAATAAAACGGAGATATACATAAAAATTTAATTCTTACCTCAAATTTAAATTGTGAACAATTATTTTCGGCTTGTTCAAACTCAATATTAAGTTTATTAATCATGTCATAAGCATCATGAAGTTGTTGTATTATTTCCTTTTTTAAATTCTGTTCCCCTTTAATCTGATTTTTATATTTAATTACCTCTCTTTTATAATCATTAACTTCTTTTAATAAATGTTCACTCATGTTGTCAATATCTGTACAATTTAGCTTGATACTGGATTCAAACTGCATTTCTAGTTCCTCGTTAAAAAGTTTTGCTTGTGTTAAATCTGAAGTTAGCTGCAAATTTTTTTGTTCGTATTGTAGAAGCCTTTTCTCACATTCTGCTAGTTCTTCCTTGAGTTGCTCTACGTCTTTATCAGAATGAATTAGTCTCCGTTTTAAAACATCTATAGTAACTTGTGAGTTTTTTATTGTATACTCATACGCAACTTTCTCCTTTAAGGCTTGATTTAATTGTTTTTTGTAGTCTAGAATTTCATTCTGTAACTCCTTTTTTATAACATCTAGTTGTTCTTTTTTTAAGTTTAGTTCCTTTTTAAGTTCTTTATACGTATTTTTTAATTGGTTAAAATTTTCGAGCGTCTCACCATAGTTCAATTTAAGTCTTTTGAGTTCTTCGGCGTTTTCTTTAAGTTCTTTCGTGATATTATTTTTCTCAACTTCACATTGTATGATGTTGTACTCGCTTATAGCCTGACATTCTTTAAGAATGTCGTCCGATTGTCTTTGTTGTAATATTAATTTGTTTTTCCATTCGTTTTCTAATTTATTAATTTTTTGTTCAATTTCCTTTTCAGTATTAAAATGTGATTTTTGCATAATTTCTTCCATCTAAAAATATACATTTTTAAGGACTAAAATTAAAATTGCAATAAACTTTTCTATATCCATAAATTTTGATGGTGAGCAAAAATGATATATTTTTTAAATTTTATTTCTAAAAACAAACAAGCATGTATAAATACAACAAAAATAGAAATCAACAAAAATACATAATATCTAATTAATAGACAAAGTTACAATAAATAAAAAGATAGCAAACTTTGTATGTGAAAGAATTATCCCATAAGTATCAAAATTGCATTGCACAAATCTTACTCCCACCATCCCCTAGAGGGAGATGGAGGGGGTGGCATATCCAAAAAATTAGGTCACAACTTTTTATGTGAAATCGTTGAAATCTACGATTTGTTCTACATACATACATACCCAAAATTTAAAATTTTTTACCTACGAACTATGGTAACCCACGAACTATGATGGTTCATTAAAATTGGCAAAAAAATTTGAAATTTATATATGTAAAAAAAACCATAGTTTTCAAATGTTTCATTTAAAAAGTGATAACTATTTTTTTTGGGAATGCCACCCCTCCATCTTACCCTATGGGACGGTGGGGTAAGATTTGTATACAGGAACGTTATGAAATAAGATTTTTATCTGCTCTGTAACAATTTTTTAATTCTAGTCCCCAGATCCGAACTATGACGGTTCAGGCTCAAAAAATTTTTTTTGGAAACGCGTAAAAAAATTTAAAATTTTAGGTTTGTATGCTGAAAAAATCGTGGATTATAACTGTTTTCTAGAAAAAATTGTAACTCTATTTTTTGAGGGTGTCACCCTGTATATATAAATAGGCAAAGACAAAATTGTTCAGTACCACTTTTCTTCTATTTGTGAACCAATTTTCTTGTTCTAATTTTTGTTTAGTAGTTATTTACGAACTTTAGTGTAATCAACAAAAAAAATTGGAAATAGTATTTTTTCCCAACCTTCGATATTGAACTCCATTGATCCACAAATTATGAATTATGATTGACTAATAAAATTAGCCTAAGCAATCATGAGCTCCCCTTAATTTCGAACCGCGTTGGAAAATATTACATTGACGAATAGAAGATCGGGAAAAAAGAAAATTACTTCTCCCCCTTCCCCCTCTGTCACGCTTAAATAGCAAGGGGTGCCAACTTCCCTCACCCCAGGTGAAGTCGATATATAGAACCGCTAGACTTGGGAAAATAAACTTTGGGTATGATGGATTGGACTTTAAGGCAAAAAAGCTTTCGGGCTCTAATCAGATTATTAATGCCAAAATTATGTTTCATCAAATTAATAATAGAACATTCTCGAGATTTAGACGCAACAAAAGTAGCTGACTATTTATAAAGTTCTTGGTATATAATTACGTTCAGTACAATGTCAAATAAAATAAAATACAATTTTAAACCAACAATGACTAATATAATATAAAATAAACAGAAAGAAGAAGAAATGTCATTAATCAGAATCGGTTTAACAAAAATGTGTTTTATATCAATAAATGAGGGTTTTTAAATTGTGAATTACTACTATTTTTTGAATTTATTTTTTTATTTAATTATAATGGTAATGAACTATATTCTATTGTAGGTACATATATAAGTTTATAGTCACAGATATACATTTAATGAATGTATAAGAATAAAAAAAGTTAGAAAGACACAAATGCATGTTTTCCTAAAATTTTCCTTAAATTTTCAATGAATATGGTAGAATTTGGACCACTTTCCATGTGGATTATGGACTAAGTATACTATTTTACAATAAATAAAAATATCGCCAGCAGTATTAAAAGGCAAACTGATAAAAGAGAATGCCTAGATAGCGGATTCACTTTAGTAGTTATTTGAAGTATATATAAAATATTTCCTTTTCGATTATGTTTTCTATCGGAAAAGCGACGATTTATAAAATATTTAAATTATATTTTATTTGTTAGTAAGAAGGTTATTTATTTAAAAAAATAAATTCCAGTTTTCAAATGTGATCAATTTAAAAATAAACAACTTAGGAAAAAACTCAAAGTCAGTGTCACAGAAACAACGAGCGACCACTTCCCTCCTGAAAGCAACTTATCCTTTGGCTAACACCGCAACCGGCACTGTATTATATCAAAAGGTAAATCGTGGAGATAGAAAATAATTTTCAACACAACTTTAATTTTGCTTCTTAAGGAGAAAGTCATTTTTGGATCCGTTTCGTCCTTATTAGGGCTCATCAACAAAAATTAGACCATTTCGACTCCAGTATCTAATGGGGTCTGCCGGCTATACAATAATCGCTCGCCCATATTAACAGAGGTTGAGAGTGTGTAGATATTCAACGAGCAAAAATGGTAATGCCATCTGCACTTAGGAAGCAAAATCAAAGCTTATTTTCTATCTTTGCTATTTACCTTTTGATTTATTGCAATACCTGTTGTTGTATTAGCCAAAGGAGTAAATTTTTTAGGAGAGAAATGGTCGCTTGTTGTTTCTGAGATTTTTTCTTTTTCCTTTGATGGTTAATGTAGTTTATTTAATAATATTGCAATATTATTTATGGATATACTTAGGTAATTAAAGAATTACAATTTGACATTTTTGAATCTACCTTTTTCGACAATGTAAATAATGTAAGTAGGACATTTTATTACAAGAGTTCCCTCTCTCCATATTTTTTTTTTAATCTGTTATTTATTTAAAATATTTACAATCTTCCTACTTTAAAATCAAAATATTAAATGAATACTTTTTTTATGTCCTTTTCAGTAACAATTTCATTTTCTAGAAAAGAATACACACAATTTTTATAATTTAATTATTATTATATTGTAAATTATAAAAACGATGTTAAATAAATTTCTTCACTTTCTTTTGATGAAATATACAAACATGTAACTAACAATGAATAATGTATAAATTTAACAGTTTGCCCATAGTAAATTCTTTGTTATAAAGATAATAACACTCTGTTAAATATCGGTATCTGAGTAGTGTAACATTTCAGTATTATTCGAATACAATATTTTTTAATAAGACTCTTAATATTATCAAATCACAAAGATTTTTGTCACGTCGTTTCATAGACCTCAAAGTACAGGAATTCCGTCTGATGACTATTAAAATATTAGCTCATTACTATAATCTAAGAATAATCAACATAATAATGAACTCACCTGTTTAAGTTTACTCTCAGATTCAAAAACAATTTTTTCCTTATCGCTTTCAAAAATATTTCTCAGTTCAGAAACCTTCTTCATCATTTCTTCTTCAGTTTCTTTAATTTTATTAGCACATACTTCCTTTTCCTTTTGAAGCTCAGTCATAGTCTTTAACATTTCAAATTCAAGATCTTGCATTTCTATTTGTTGTTCTTCCATTAATTTTTCGGTTTCAAGAGAATGTTGCTTCTGCATTTCTATTGTGTTCTGTTCTAATATTTTCAAAAGGTTTTCTTTTTCGTCAATGTCAGCTTGTTTTTGGTTTATTGTTATTCTGTATTTTTCGAAATATTTTTCATAAAAGTTTGGTATTTGTGAAATATTTGATTTTAAATCTTTCATTTCTGTGTTATAAGATAATACCGATTCTTTTAACTCTAATAACTGCATTGTAATTTTGTCTTTTATAGAAATGGTATCAGATAATCTCAATCTAAATTCTTCTTGCATAATTTTAATTTTATTTTCATGTTCATTTTTCAAATTTTCAATTGTTTGTTCGAACCTGTCTTCTTCTGTGTTAATACCACGTGCTTCATTTTCTATTCTATTGATTTTTATTTTAAAATCTTCTAGTTGCTGAGTGAGATCTTTGATGTAAGAATCTTTGTTTTCACACTCGACTATTTTTTCTTTTAGTGCTTCTAAGTTTTGCTCGTTATTGAAAATTTCGGTAGATTTTGCTTTCGAAGTTTGATTTGTAGTTAATTTTGGTTTTTTTCGTAATAATTGTGGCTAAAAGTAAAAGATCATTTAAAAATTAAATATTTGTTATCTACTGTACAAAATAAACAATATTTAGTTTTCTGTGGTAAATTAGGCATACAATGCGATCGTAAATTGTCTCCCCTTATAAATCCTAAATGGAAATAAGTACGTTTAACCTTTTATGATATTTGTACTAAAATGGCAGTGACATTATGTAAATTAAAATTTAATAACTTTCGTGCGTTAATTTTCTGCTTGCTTAGAAAATGTTTTTGTTGTATAAAATAGTAATTGTATTGCTACAAGTATACAAATCATACGAGTAGGAAATGAGCATTCCTTGCGAGTTGAATATCCTAGCAATACAAAACTCCACTACTGGCAAATAATGCTACAGAATTAAATACGGAATAAAAGCAGAGGCTTGGAAAAATATGCGATTTTCAGTTATATCCGGATAAATCGGAAGTATCCCAAGTAACAATTTGATATTTTATAAAAGCTGAAAAAATGTTTACAGAACAAATTTTATAAAACAGAATATTAGGTAAGAACATTTCTGGAACATTTTTTCAAAAGTAATAAACACAAAATTAGCGCAGTATTACAGAACTATTTGGTTCATTTGTAAATTGTATAAGATTTGTTAAATGCAGTTACCGGACAGTTGCTACACGTGTCTTTTTTTCCACCGGTTTGTTGGAATCGTTTTTTTCGCCGATGCGGCCTTGAACGCCTTTTGTTGGATTCGATTTATTTATGGTTGATCGTTGAAATAAATAACAGTTGACATTTTTGATTAAAATTTGTGTTTATAATTTTATTTGAATGTACCTATTTACTTTAATTTGTACGCATATATTTTTAAAATCTCATTTTTTTGGTTTTCCCACAAAAAAAAACAATTAAATAATTAATAAACTCCTTAATTCTGATTAATTCCCGTAATCCATAGCTGTCAGTTGTCACATCTAATCGGAAAAACCGTACATTGAAATGATGGAATGGTGTTGCATCAATTGCATCAACGTTGGATAAAAAGACAGCGCTGTTAGTTCATCATTGATAAATTGATGAAATAAAAGACAGGTAGATACCGCACCGATGCCAACGTTGCTGCAACAGTTTGATAAAAAGACACACGTTACACATTTACACAGACTTTAAACAAATGTTTTTTTAAACTTTTATAACGGTTTTATAAATTTTAAATTTTGAGGTTGTCATATGTCAATAGTGTAGATTGGCATTACCTCCTAAAATAAAGTTTAGTTGTCACCCAGCAATCGTCTAGTAACTACCTACCTGGGCTGGAACTCTGTGTCATGTAGAATTCTACTTATCGCTTTCTACAATAGATTCTTTTGTGGCACTCTGTGTAACATAGCGGAAAACCAACGAGTATATACTTACTACAGGATAACTAGTTTCATAAGAAACCACATTGCGATATTTCCCGTGCGGTTGATAACGTATTTATCACAAAAGAAGTAATCGATTTCTATTGTAGAAAGCGATAAGTAGAATTCTACATGACAGAGAGTTCCAGCCCTGATTCCTCTCCCATACTCATATACATAGAAGCGACATCACATGTCACATGGTGCAATCAAGATCGGATTTACGTTAATCCTTAAAAATCGAAGCCATCCTTTAATTATACTAAAATATTAAAGTTCCAAAGTAAATAAAATGGATTTTAGAGGAGTGCCGCCAATGAAAATGGCTGGAAATTTATCGGAAAATTGGAGATTTTGGAAACAGCGTTTTCTTACCTATCTTCGTGCCACTGAAATAATCAAAAAAGAACAGGTAACACAATGTGCTCAATTATTAACGTTAATAGGAGAAGATGGAATGAGAATATACAATACTTTTGTTTTTCCTGACGCGAACAAAGATAAATTAGATCCGTTAATAAAACAATTCGATGATCATTTTAACCCTAGGAAAAATTTAACTTACGTTAGACATAAATTTTTCACGTATAGGCAGACTGATGGTGAAAGCATTGAACAATTCGTCACAGAACTTAAAAATTTTGCACTATCTTGTGAATTTGGCACTATACAAGACAGTTTGGTTAAATATATGCTCATTTGTGGAGTCCAGACATCAGGGTTAAGAGAAAAATTACTCCCCAGGGAGCTGATTCCAAGAATTTAGAGGAGACCATTCAGATTTGCATAAACACACAAAAATGCAAAGAAAGATGTATTGAGATTTCAAATGGAAATGGACACCCAAGTACGTCTGTGGATATCATTAAAAATAAATCGTATACTAAAAAACCACCACAGTCAAGTCGTTGTTGGAAATGCGGCCTTCAGCACGAATATAGAAAATGTCCAGCTTATGGTAAACACTGTGGATCCTGTGGAGGCATCAATCATTTTGCAGCAGTGTGCAATAAGAAGAAAGGAGCATTGGCAGATCAAGGGCATCAGAGGGGACACCCAGGAAACAACTCGCAAAATCAAGTAGGTACTTTTCAATATTGTAATAATAATTTTAAAAATAATAAAATCTCAGGTAGAAATTTTAACTATAATAATTTTAAAAATACTAGACGTTATAACAGATCTAAGAATATTAACTGTATTGATAATGATAGAGATTATCAATAGTGAGGTTATGTCTGACTTAGGCGAAGTAGAAATTGTTGATAATAATATAATTCAACTTGAAAATATGTATGAGAGTAGAAACGCTGAGGAATTTTTGTTTATAGGTAGTATCGAAGGCAAGGTCAACGAGAAACAAGAAGGTCTACATAACATTTATAATAATGATTTTGTACTGTTGCTTATTTTTTAATTGTGTAATGTAAAATGTAATGTTCATTCTAAATGTTATTTTATATAATTGTAGCTACAAATCTTTTATAACTGTTTTTGTAATTTTAACCAGCTGTGACTGATATTAAAATGTAATTACAATTAATTATTTGTAAATATTTTATTATGACTTGATGAATCTAAATGTAATTGTACCAATAAGGGGGATGTCATATGTCAATAGTGTAGTGTTAATAAAATAAAGTCTAGTTGTCACCCAGCAATCGTCTAGTAACTACCTACCTGATCCCTCTCCCATACTCATATACATAGAAGCGACATCACATGTCACAGAGGTTATGTTGCATATCAAAATCGGTAACATTTTAGTTTTTAAATGTATCTGGTGAAAACATATGAATTATAGATTTGTCATAAAAAGTAAGTTCAAGGCAGTAACAGTAAAATGGAAGTATCTACGTAAGAGATACCTATAACGCCCCAGCTAGCACATAACGTTGCCAAGCCTTTCGGTGATGTTGCATTAAGAGAACGTAATAACATTACTATACAACGTAAATGCAACGTTCATGAGAAGTTGTTGAGGGAAATCAAAACCTCGCAAAACTTCTATTTGTTATTTACATAGTTAACCTACCTGTTATGTTAACACAACGTAGTAAAGTAATTTGCAAAAAAGTATCCACAAGAAGTACTGTGAACATCACAATCTGATTGGAACGTTTATGTCAATTGTCACTTGTCAATTTTTCTTGTCATATGTCATGTTTTTTTTAAACTTTGAGAATTTATTTTGTAATTATTATTTAAACATTTGAGTAGAATTGGTAAGGATCCTCTATAAAATAGAAAACTGTTTTCTGATCCATTTTCTTCGTTTTAGATTACAATGCCTGTTGTAAATTTTATCAAAATGCCCGGGAATATTTGGATCATATTTTTGTAGAAGTTTTAGACAGAAGGACCTGGAGCTGGTTTATAAAATTATAAAAATGTCCGGGAATATCTGATAACTTTGTTAGAAGCTAGATTGAAGGACTTGGTTTGTGAAATTATAAAATGAGGACCTCTTTTTTTGGAAGCTCGACAGAAGGACTTTGTTTATAAAATTATAAGCTAAGCACTTTTTTTTAGAAATTTCACCAAGGTCCGGTTTTTGTTAACTGAAAAGGTGGCAACCCTAATACAAAATGGTTTAACTACAATAAAAACAAATAATGGTAGATAAACATCGGTAAACGAGAAGATTAACATTTAACTAAATGTCCAGTTACATTTTACTTATAAATACTTGAAATACCGTATGAAAGAGATATACAAAACTAAGTTGCCACGTTACTGGCCTATCTAAGGATGTAAGTGGTGGCAGTAATTCCTTTTTCCCAGCTGGCTCTTAAAATTTCATGATTCGGACAGTGAAGGGATTAATAAAAGTATATCTAACTGTGATTTGATATAATCTCTTTTAGCTCATGCACAATTTACCCTGTGGTTTATAATCCCCTACAAATGGTTATTAAAGCTGTTAATGTGTTGATGGTATTAATGATAGGATACAATTTATCTTATGGTCCCCCTTTTAGTACTAAAAGGTGCACAGGTGAGTTTACATATTTAATTTTTCAAGTTTATCTGCTATAGTTTATATTTATTTTAGGAATTAATCGAAACGAGCCACTACTTCCCAATCTGGAGAAATAGGAAAAGATAGTCCTTACTTGTGGCTGAGAAGTTATAAATCTTACTGCAATCAAACTGGTGATCGTTCAGGATGCGGTAATAACTGATGATGGCTTCTGGAGGCGCCAAAGCCTCAGCAAGGGGCTGCAAGTGAATCGCAGCTATATAAATTGAGATTCCTATGCATGTCACTAACATAATATGTGTTTTAGTTATTTCAGTTTAACAAAAGACCCACTAAGTTATTAGATAAATAATTATTCATTAGATAATTACAGTAAATGATAAATAAAGGCCTAAAATAAAATAACCCTATTGGTATGTGATTTTAGGGAAGCATGGAGAGGTCGAACTTATCACAGATGTTAGGGGCCCTTCTTCTCTGAAATTTTATAAAAAGTGAATCCTCTGAAATTTTATAAAAAGTGAATCTACAGCTAGGTACATGGTATGTCTATATTGAAAAAAAAAAAACATCAGATTCAAGCAAGTGCAATACCTACTAGAAGAAAATTTGAGAAAAATCACAGACGATTCCCTCGAACATAC